TTCTAATGCCGTGACCCCTCAATACAGTTCCTCATATTGTGGTGACCCCCAATCATAAAATTATTTTCATTGCTACTTCATAACTGTCATTTTGCTGCTGTCATTAATCTAATGTAAATATCTGAAACACGATGTATTTTCATTCACTGGACCAAATTTGGCACAAATGCCCAATACGCCCAAATCTGAATACTGGTGGGGTTGGGGGGGATTGATTTTGTCATTTGAGAGTTGTAGTTCTGGGATTTATAGTTCACCTACAATCAAAGAGCATTCTGAACTCCACCACTGATGGAATTGAACCTAATACAGAACTTCCAGGACCAACAGAAAATAATGGAAGAGTTTGGTGGGCATTGACCTTGAGTTTTGGAGTTGTAGTTCACCTACATCCAGAGAGCACTGAGGACTCAAACAATGATGCGTCTGGACCACACTTGGCACGATTACTCAATATGCCCAAATGTGATCACTGGTGGAGTTTGGGGAAAATAGACCTTGACATTTAGGAATTGTGGTTGCTGGGATGTATAGTTCACCAACAATCAAAGAGCATTCTGAACACCAATGATGGAATTGAATCAAACTTGGCACAAATAATTGCCAGGACCAACAGAAAATACTGGAAGAGTTTGGTGGGCATTGGACTTGAGTTTTGGAGTTGTAGTTCACCTACATGCAGAAAGCACTGTGGACTCAAAAATGATGGATGTAAACCAAACTTGGCAAGAATATTTAATATACCCAAACGTGAACACTGGTGGAGTTTGGGGAAAATACTGGAAGGGGTTGGTGGGCAATTTTGGAGTTGTAGTTCACCTACATCCAGAGATCAATGTGGACTCAAACAATGATGGATCTCGACCACACTTGACACAAATACTCAATATGCCCACGTGTGAACATTGGTGAACTTTGGGGAAAATAGACCTTGACATTTAGTAATTGTAGTTACTGGGATTTATAGTTCACCTAGAATCAAAGAGCATTCTGAACCCCACCAACAATAGAATTGAGCCAAACTTTCCACACAGAACCCCCATGACCAACAGAAATTACTGTGTTTTCTGATGGTCTTTGGTGACCCCTCTGACACTCCCTTGTGACCGCCCCCCCCCCCTTTGGATGTCTGCTATCCAAAGTTACAGAGGCTACTCTGGTGGTCCATTTGGTTGAGAAAAATTGCAGGCTGCAATCCAACATCCCATCGGCATAGTCTAAATACTCACACAGAGAAATAAACACTGTGCCAGCACTGCAGAATTGGCAACCTTGAGCTATCTATGTCAATGCCATTTCACAATGTACAATGTAATGCATAATGTGCAACTACTTACCTGTCTGAATGTATCTCCCCCTAGGAACTATCTCAGAGTTTAAGTTTTTTTGGGGAAGCCCTGCTATCAATCCCATCCCCCTCGCAGGGGTGACTGGTGTGGACAAGAGACAGGGCTTTCTTGGTGGTAGCCTCTCAGCTTTGGAACTCCCTCTCCAGGGAAATTAGATCAGCTCCTGACCTTTAGGAAGAAAGTTAAATCCTGGTTGTGGGACCAAGTATTTGCACAATGATTCTCAGTGTCACAGCGATTTCTCAGTGCAATAATGAACAGTGAGAATTGGAATGGCTCCTGGAATATGTTTTTGGATTGTGTGATTTTTAATTATTTTAAGTGATATGCTTTAATTATGTGAATTTAAAGTTTATGTTGTTTTATTTTTATATGTATTCAAGGCATCGAATTGTGCCTCTGCTGTGAACCACCCTGAGTCCCCTTTGGGGTGAGATGGGTGAGATACAAATGGGGCAAATAAAGAAAGAAATGCACAATGCTCAGCCCCTATTTGCTGTAGACAAGTAGAAGACACAACCATAATGCATAACAGTGCTTTGATATTAGCCACCTTGAGTTCTGATATCAGGATCAAATTGAATAAATAAACTTGGCTTCTGCCACTGTCGGCAGAATATGTCTATTCTGTGATGGCAAATAATTCACTTTGCATGCATAGTATAATTTATGTATTCCTATGTCACTACCAGTCCTTCTCTGTGTTTCTCTTTTCCTTTGACTGGTAAGTATGCGATGGAGCAACTCTCTGTTGTTCCGCATTGCTCAGCTCCTTTCAGTCATCATGATCATATGGTGCAGTGGGTTAAACTGCTGTGCCGTCACGCGTGGGGGCTATAAATCTTAGTGAAAGAGATATAGACATGACATCTTTCCCCCAGGGGATTGCTTCTTGCTTTCCTTTAAAGAACTGGAACTCCCAAGGACCAAAACACTGTAGATAACTCAAAATAGGTTTTATTGTTCACAAAGGGTTATCCCTTTAAGGCAATAAGCTGGAAGTTTCAAAGGGGGTAAAGGAAATATACATTATAGTCTCTGGTTGTCTTGGGTCCAAGGAGATTTCGTAGCTGAGAAGCTTTTCCTGTTCCCTCTTTTCTCAATGGTTGTGAAGGTCAGAACAAACACAACCCCCAGTCCAATGGCCTATGTTGAAGGCACAGAGTCTTCCTTTTGATGCCAAAGGACCGGTTTGAAGGCGCTTGGGTCTCCTCAACGTTGTCCAGGGCGATCTGGACATGAAGCATGAGTCCCAAGGGTAAAACCTTAGAATTGGTGATGAGAGGTAACTTAATTAAGGGCTTTAGAGCCAAGTCTCTTTCTCATGTCTATCTGATAGAAAGTTTGATGGTAGAATGGAAAAGGAAAAGCTCTGCCCTCCTCCAGGAAGAGGTGGAGCCAAGCAATTGAGCTGAGGAAGCAATATAACTGGTGCAAACAACATTGATTGACAGCTATAAATAACCAATCAATCCAACTATATATTTACAAACTAAGCAAGTATGGGCATGTTATACAGTTTAAACCTTTGCACTTTAAAGTTCTACACACAGGTGGCTCCACTCGCGCCGTCATAACCGCTGAGCTGTTGAACTTGCTGACCAGACAGTTGGCAGTTCAAATCTGGGGAGTGGGGTGAGCTCCCGCTGTTAGCCCCATCTTCTGCCAGCCTAGCAGTTTGAAAACATGCAAATGTGAGTAGATCAATAGGTACCACTCCAGCGGGAAGGTAACGATGCTCCATGCAGTCATGCAGGTCACATGATCTTGGCGTCTACGGACAATGCCGGATCTTCGGCTTAGAAATTGAGATGAGCACCAACCCCCAGAGTTGGACATGACTAGACTTAATGTCATAGGAAAATCTTTACCTTTACCTTATCACTCCTCTGCTTGGCCAGTGATTTGAAAAGTATCATCCTCCCTTTCTAGTTTCATCCCATGTTCAGTTATTTATTTATCGTGTCAGGAACAAACCAAACAGTTATATTGTATTTTTTAAAAAACACAAAGTTTGCAAACTTGGCATTCTATTAAATGTCCTTTGACCAGTAGCTGGCCACTTGGAGTGCCTCTGGTGTTGCTATAAGAAAGTCCTCCATTGTGCATCCCATGTTCAGTAGTATAAACTTACTCCTGAGGCCGGAAGAGTATGTCTCCATACTATCCCAACCATCTGATGGGATTTTCCCCCTCTTATCACTTCATTATCTCTCCAAGCAGAGATCTGGAAATGAATCTGGGATAAGTCAATTGCATTTAACTTCCCTCTATCCCTTCCTCCCTAAGTAACATGAAACATACTACTCTCATTCCAAGGCAAAGGTGTTAAATTAACCTTTGGGCCATTAATTTGGAGGGTAATGTAATTAAGGGATCATTCCCACATTAAAGGAAAGATGATAAACAATCTAAATCAATTTAACATGTTATTCCCAAACCCTGAGGTCATATGCCACGGCGATTCCAGATAAAACACAATGTGGTTAACTGGTTATAAGAGTCAGCCAGGTTGTTATCAAGCACTGATATGATTAAATTTATGTAGGTAATACGTGGCTCCAAATGCTAAGTGTTTCTTTTTCATATTCCCTTTTAATTTGTATTTAAATCTTTACCCTGCAATACAGGCATATTAGCTGAGTCATGTTTACTCACTGGCCAATGATAAACTCGAGACTGGGAAATACAATCACTCCCCCTTTTGAAAGTCATATTTGCACTTGGGGAAGGTTAAACAGACCAGTATTTGCTAGACTTATTTTAGCATAAACCCAACCAATACTATTATTAAGAGGTGTTACTGTTGAGGAGAACCTCATAGCATTTCATTTGTGAGTGAAAGATAATAAATTAAGCTTTTATGGAGTATCCATATCCTATAAAGGTTGTTGTTACATTACTACATAGCGGAGCCAGCAAAGTGACTAATGCAATTTAATTGTGACACAACTGCTAGTATCCCGTTATGCATCTTTGCAATTCTCCAGCAGGGTTTCAACATGTTTCTGCTATGTAACTCAATATATGTAGAATTACATAACGTACACCATGATAGAGGATTCTGGCCAATAAACACAAACAGCAAATTCAGTTTGTGTTTATTTATGAACCCAAGCGATCTCTTCGATTGTCCAGAGAGGCCTTTCTCTCGCTCCCACCTTCTTCGCTGGTGCGACTTGTGGGGACGAGGGAGAGGGCCTTCTCTGTGGTGGCCCCTCTGTGGTGGCCCCTTTTAGAGGGGTACCCTACCCTCTAAAACCCGTGAAGACTCATTTCATTGCTGTTACACCAGTGTTTTACATTTTTAATCTATTCGAATTGGCCCTGCCCACAGTGCTGGATCCTTATGTTTTTAAATGTTGTGTCTTTTTGTGGATATGTTATTTATAATGGTTTTTTAATTGTATTTTATTTTTTGTTTTACTCTATTGCTGTGTTGGTTATACTGTTAGATTGTATTGTTGGGCTTGGCCTCATGTAAGCCGCCCCGAGTCCCCTTGGGGAGATGGTGACAGGGTATAAATAAAGTATTATTATTATTATTATTTCTAATTATTGCCTGAATAAAATATATTTTAATGGTTTTATATAATGGTTTTATGGTAAAGCTGATGTATTTGCAATAACAGTAGAGTCTCGCACACTATATTATTTTATTTATTTATTTACAACATTTCTACTCCGCTCTTCTCACCCCTGCACAGAGTAATTTTGACAGGAAAAATTGTTGCTGTCAATTTCATGTCAGGAGTAACTTGTGAAACAGCAAGCCGCTTCTGGTGTGAGAGAATTGTATATCTCCAAGGACGTTGCCCAGGGGACGCCCGGATGTTTTACCATCCTTGTGGGAAGCTTCTCTCATGTCCCCGCATGGGGGGCTGGAGCTGACAGAGGGAGCTCATCCACGCTCTCCCTGGATTCAAATCACTGACCTGTCAGTCAGTAGTCCTGCTTGCACAAGGGTCACAAATTGAAAAGTTTGTAATGAATCCTGTGTTACCAATCCACAAGCTGGTGGGTTCAATAGCACTCAATTCCAAAAATCCCTATTCTGCTGTTGTGGGATGGAAGTCAACCATTTGAGAGCTAGAAAAAAATGAGTGTCATCTCTTCTCCCTAATGTAGGTGGGGGAATATGACTTATATTATAGAGTTATGGCTGTGGACAAAGGCTCTCCCAGTTAGCGTGGGATGACAGAAAATTCATAGAAGGGTGGGATGACTGCAGATCCATTCTCAGCGGGTGTTGTGTCAATTTTGTCTGGGGTCACAAGGGGCTTCAGCCGGAAGCTCTGCAAGATGGTGGTGAAATAGAGGAAAAGTTCCATTCGGGCCAAGGCTTCTCCCAAACAGATCCTCTTCCCTGCAAACAAAATAGAAGAATCATCAGTAGAAAAAGGCATAATTAGGTTTTCTATCAGTTGTCTTCTGATGAACACCTAAATAGGGCATTTATTTTGGAATCATCCTGCCATATTCATAGAATCCCAGGATTTCTGACTCTCTGGTGCCCAGGAACCCCATATGAGCATGCCTATTATCTCAAGTAGGAGTTATTGTTGTTTTATGTTAGGTTTCATATGTATGTGAGGCATTAAATTTTGCCATAAATAGATTAGAAATCTCTTTGAGTTCCTCTCTGGGGTGAAAAAAGCAGTATACAAGCAAAGTCAATAAATAATAAATAAACAGTATGCTTGGAAAAGCCCAACCTGAAGAAAATGGCACAAAAGCATCATTCTTCTTGAAGCATCCATTCTCATCCAAGAAATTCCCTGGGTTGAAAGCATGAGGGTTTTTAAACATTGTGGGGTCATGCAGGACACTACTGAGCACAGGGTAGACTTCCGTTCCCTGGGGAAAAAATGAAAGAGGGTGAAGAGATGAACACTGCAAAGATTCACAGGGAGCACTTACAGATCTAGAACAGGTGGCCTCAAATTAAGCTTAATGGCTCATTCTCTTTAAGTATTCCATATAAAGATGGTAGATTAATTCATCCTATGTGTATTTGGCTGTGTGCATCACTTTTCTGTTGATTCATCAAATAAGCAAAGCTGAATATCCCCTGGATATTATTCATTGCTTTTAGACACCACCTTTTTCACCTGTTTTTGGCCTACAACTCCCAGAAATCCTAACAGCTGCTAAACTGACTGGGATTTCTGGGAGTTCTAGGCTAAAAACATCTGGGGACCCCAGGTTGAGAACCACTGCTTTAGAAGCCTGAGATTTTCAGCAACTGAGGCTTCTTCAGTCTTTAAGCATCAAAACAGAATATTTATTTCTCAAAGTCCTTGCAGACTTGGCACAGCTTGGCAAAGTTACAAACAAAACAGTCAATTGATGAAGCAATAGAGATGATCTTTCTTTCCTTTCCTTGAGTTACTGAGGCAACTTTCCCCCCAAAAGGCAGATAAGATTCTGGAATCTTTCACCCTAACCCTGAGCTGCTATGGTTTAGAAAAAAGCAGGTTTTTTTCCCTATCTATAGCTCAAGGTTAGCTTTGGAGATGAAGTAATGCTCAATATATATCATCAGTGGAACTCTCTGCCCCAGAGGGAGTGTGGTGGAGGCTCCTTCTTTGGAGGCTTTTAAACAGAGGCTGGATGGCCATCTGTCGGGGGTGCTTTGAATGCAATATTCCTGTTTCTTGGCAGGGGGTTGGACTGGATGGCCCATGAGGTCTCTTCCAACTCTTTGATTCTATGATTCTACCTATTCTATCTATCTCTATAGTACTCAATAGTTGCTTATATTCATGCTTATATTGGCAGGGGGTTGGACTGGATGGCCCATGAGGTCTCTTCCAACTCTTTGATTCTATGATTTTACCTATTCTATCTCTCTCTCTCTCTCTCTCTCTCTCTCTCTCTCTATAGTACTCAATATCTTCTCTATCTAAATCTCAATATGCTTCTAAATATCTCAATACTAAATTTATCTATTTCTCAATCTTACTCAATAGTTCTTGTAATGGTTTTCTCGGAGTACCTGCCTGGCCACAGCACATCTGAAGCTTTCTTTCTCAACTGAACAAGGCAGGGGAGATTCCAAAATGGAAATCTCAACCCAGGAAAAAAGGCAGTCCCTAGACCCAAAGAGATACTTTTCCAAACCAATAGCTGCAAAAGGGCCTGCAGACTGGCTTTCCAGCCTCTGATAATGTTAACTTTCAGAGTGCAGCTAAGATTGTAGCAACCCTGGGGAAATGCAAAAGAATGCTATCCCATGCAACTAAAAGGTAATGCAAACTATGCTCCTGGAAGACGGAACATAGGGTAAAGGTAAATGTTTTCCCCTGACATTAAGTCCAGTCATGCCCAACTCTAGGAGTTGGTGCTCACCTACATTTCTAAGCCAAAGAGCTGGCATTGTCCACAGATACCTCCAAGATCGTGTGGCCAGCATGACTGAATGGAGCTCCATTACCTTCCTGCTGGAGTGGTACCTATTGATCTACTCACATTAGTATGTTTTTGAACTGCTGGGTTGGCAGAAGCTGGGGCTAACAGCAGGACCTCACCCCACTTCCCGGATTCGAACCACCAACTTTCCGGTCAGCAAATTCAACAGTTTAGCGGTTTAACACACTGTGCCACCGGGGACTTCATATCATGCAAATCCTTGTCAAAACTATTCATCTTGAGGGAGTCAAATGCCTTTTCCTATATAATAGCCACCAGAATGACATTACTAAAATGCCCACAGAAAAATTTCAATTTCTGTCAAGAGTTGTTGTCTTGGCAAATTATATCTGTGGTGACGTGGGGGAAAATGGAATATTCCATGAAATTTTCATGACAACACATAGCTGGGTTTTATATGATACACCTGCTGTCTGTACCTTGGGAATCATGTAGCCTCTGAATTCAGTGTCACGCGTAACCATGTGGGGCAGGGCCATGGGAAACAGGTCACTGACCCTCTGCACTTCATGGATGACAGCATCCATATATGGCATCTGGCTCCGGTCTTCAATATTTGGGGCACGGTTCTGTCCAATCACTTGGTCAATTTCTTCATGCACCTTTGCTGTTAAATGTAATCACTAAATTAGCTTCTTTTGATGTATAACTCTGAAAGGAAACTGATTTTCAGACTTCAATATTACCAATTGGAATCTCCATATTCAGAACTTGGAAAGCTTTGAATAATACCAGTTGCAGGAATATATAACATCTGTGATGGCCTTTGTTTATATTCTGGGAGAAGGGGGTTTCTACTGTTGAAAGAGTTCCTCAACTATTTTCCTCCATCCCTCAACTGCTCTGTACCTTGGACTTCAGGATATTTCATCAGGAGCAGAAATCCATATCTCAAGGTGGAGCTGACAGTCTCTGTTCCGCCGAAGAAAAGAGTAAGAGCTGTGAGCTCCAGGTTTCTCATGTTAAATTCACTGGATGGGTTATCTTTTTCCTGAAAAGAGAAAAGAACAAAACATCTCAAGATCTTTCCAAGAAGGGTCATTATCAGCAATACTGGGAAAGTCTGTTGCATTTTTAAGGTCAACTAAAAGTATCATCAAGTCCCATGATTTATCATTAACTGGTTGAATTAAAGATTGCAGTTGAGATGCAAGTTAAGAATAACATTATCTTTAAGTATTTCAATGAACACTTGAGAATTTGACAGCAGAATAACATTTTGCACATATATCTCAAACCATGGACTGACAAGTGACTGAAAGAGTGGCATGCTTGATCACAGGGTTCATGATTTAAACCAGTGGTTCTCAGTCTGTGGGTCCCCAGATGTTTTGGCCTTCAACTCCCAGAAATCCTAACAACAGGTAAACTGGCTAGGATTTTTGGGAGTTGTAGGTCAAAACATCTGGGGACCCACAGGTTGAGCACCACTTTTTTGTTTAGTGTCAGGAGAGACTTGAGAAATCGCAAGTCACTTCTGATGTGAGAGAATTGGCCGTCTGCAAGGACGTTGCCCAAGGGATGCCCGAATGTTTTGATGTTTTATCATCCTTGTGGGAGGCTTCTCTCATGTCCCTGCAAGGGGAGCTGGAACTGACAAGAGGGAGCTCATCCACGCTCTCCCCGGATTTGAACCTCCGACCTGTTGGTGTTCAATCCTACCTTCACATGGTGTTAACCCATTGCACCACCAGGGTGTCATGTATTATGTTCTGCAGTTGATGGTGTTTGGTGATAGAAGGGTTAATGTAAGTCTTAGTTCTAAAGGGTTGAGTAATCTGTAAGTGATCATGGGTGAAAGCAATTAAGGGTGGAGGTATGCAAGAGATGGGTTGCAGCTGGGTGTTTCTGGACATAAGGAGCTAGCCTTGGGGCTGATCTTTGGGAGAAAAGTATTTGTTTTATCTTGATGGTAGATGCTGCTGGTTTTCCCCCAGGTTTGTGGATTTTCGGTATCCTGACCTGTATCCTGCACTCTTGGAACCCTCAAACCTTAAATCTTTGGACTGGCTTTTGACTACAGTATAGACTTTTGATCCCTGGACCTTGCTCATTGAACCCTTGGCGTTTGACTACTGGACTGGACCTTTTAACTATGGTGTTATCTTGAACCTGCAACAGTGTTTGCTGTCAGTTTTGTTTTATATTCTGTGGCTGAGTGCTATCTTTATGTTTTGGACTATTAAAACAGCCAGAAAGTCAATGCTGTTTTAATTAAATTATTTAACACTAACTGGGAGTTTGGTTCATCTCTGCCTAAATATTGGCAGAGCCCTGGCATCATGACACAGGGGATGATTTAAACAATCACCAATTTCTTTGGATCTCTTCCTGCTTTTCAAAGGAAGTGATATTACTACAGTAGTATCCTGATTTCCTAAATGGCTGCAATCCATTAAAGCCATATCACATCACATCATGCCATCCAGCAGGAAAACAAGCATGATTGCAGACATCTATGAGTGTGGCATGTACTCCCAGTTTTGTAAATATCAAGCCATTTGATCTGTGGGCTTAGAACAGAACCAGCAGTTGCACTCTCATAAAAGGTTTGGATTTTAATCCCATCAGACTAGCCATTGAGCAAGAGGTGAGTGATAGTTGCATCAACTCCATCAGGTTGAGTGGAGTTGAAAGATCCTCATGCCCCACCAAGGTACCTTTTCCATCTGGATGAGGAAACAGTCAATGAAGTCCCGTGGGAAGTTGGGGTCAAGGGTCTCTTGGTTCTTTTTCACTCTCTTGGCAATGTAAGTCCTAATCCCACCCAGGAGGTCATAGACTTTATCCTGGGGCCCTGGGAAGTACTTCAGGATGCTGACATAGATGTCGTACAACTGTATGAAGAGAGAAAGCATGTCTCACAGATGATCTGCTAGTGCAGTAAATTCCTCTCTGGTATCAGACATATGCTATCAGTCTATATCTGGAATGGGTCTAGTCACTCCTAATTCTAAAGGAGTCCATCAAGAGCAACTGAATAGCAGGCCTGTTTGTTTAGATATGTGCATGTGGCCAGAAACAAAGAAAAGAAAAGAAAACCTTAAACTGACCAGATAAAAAAACAATTATGTTTTGGAGATAACATAAAGCAGGAGATCTATTTACAATACCACATGAGTACAAGTGAAAATTGAAAAAAATCTATGGAAAGGGTGGTGTGGAGCCATGTTCTTTTAATGTACGAGGGTTGAATGAAAAGTAATGCCTCCACCTTTGTAACTCCTCAACAGATGGCAGTACTGGTATGCGGCAGGTACTGGCTTGTTCAGTAGACTCTCCTCTACAGTTGCATTTTGGCAGGAAGCCTTAGCATTGAATGGTTGTGTTGTTGTAGTGCAAAGTATGGAACCCTGCGCGGATGGTCGGTCAATGCTACTTAAGCAATGTGCAGTCAGAAGGTGTCACCCCAAAGGAGCTTAATCAGAGAATGCAAGCTGTTTATGGCGATTGTGTTGATATGAGTACTGTGTGTCGTTGGACAAGAAAGTTTAAAGATGTTGAGGTGAGAACATCTGATTTGCATGACAAAGAGTTGGACATCCTGAGCCAGCAACCATTGAGTTTCACAAGCAAAAGGTTAACAGATTGATTCAGAACAATTGTTGTATCACTCAGAGAGAAATTTCAAGTATCGGCATTTAACAAGAACATGTGGGTCACATTATTGCTTTGCTTGGCTATAGGAACATCTGTGCTCAATCAGTTGCGGAAACAGAGTGTCGACTTCTTCTTTGACGGCTTCAGAAAACTTGTTCATTGTTGGCAGAAATGTATCCAATTGTCTGGTGATTATGTGGAAAAGTGAATAGTGGTAGTTAAAGAGCATATTCTAAGGATTATTTCTGCGTTTGATTTATTAAAATATTCCCATCCAAACCCAAGTAACGAAGGTGGAGGCATTACTTTTCATACTTTTAAAGTGTGCACTTGTACATGGGTTGAGTACATTTCCACATATAACTATCAAATCTATCATAGCTTCAAGACTCATGGTTCTTTCACATTACACGATTTCTCTGATTCCTTAATTGTTCTGGCAGCATGCCATAGAATCCTAAGATTTGCACTTTACCGAGGAGGATTTAAGAACTCTTAAAGAAAGAGCACTCATGAGGTTTCTCTGAAGTGAAAAAAAAAGGGAGAGAAAGAAGCAAAGTAAGGGGCAGGCAAAGTGATGATTTAAAAAGTCCAAAGAGGAGGAGAGCAGTAGAGATGATGGAGGTAGTAATAGGGATGTAATAATTTCAAATACTATTTCCATTCCAAGAGGGAAATAGCTGAGGGAGAGAGAATAAGCTTGGAAGTGGGGAGAAACAAAGATCACCTGGCTAAATAGTGTGGGAAGGTGCATCGAGGAAGAGATGCACCATTAAAGAGAAAAATTAATGAACTTCGAAATCACCTTAATTGCCAAGAGTCAATGGCATGGAATCCTGGAATTTGTGGTTTGGCACCAGAGAAGACTAGACCTTGTAAAAATTGTGACTCCCATTATTCCATAGCATTGAGCTGTGGCAATTCAATTGCTCTCAAACTGCATTAATTCTATAGAGTAGATATCCCCCAAAATATCTATATTGGAAAAGGCTAGGCTTGTGCAATTCATTGGGAAGGCAATCTGGTTTTGCCATCCAAATTTTGTTGGGCATCCAGATCTGTTTTTCGGGAAATGGAAAATGGAAATATCTGGTTTTGTTTAGACAGCCAAAAGATCTGGTAAGATCCAGCCAATTGGTGGCAATGGGGAACTTACAAGGTTCCCCTTTCCATTCCTGGGATCCTTTCCTTTCTTCCTTTTAAGTGAGTCTGGGTTTCAGCAACGGGGTTAAGGAAGCACCCTTCCTGGGACCCATTTCTTTCTTCCTTTCAAAGAAGTCTGGGTTTGAGCAATGGGATTAAGGAAGCAGTGCATAAGACACACCACAGTGTTTTTCTATTCAGATTGGCCCAACAGGCAGGGCTCACAGGGAAACCCTGTGTACGCAGCATTCCTGTTGCACCTCAGCTGGGGTTCGCCTTGCTTAAGCACTCACTAGGAAGCCCAACAGTTTATTGAAAAAGCACACACAGTAAAAGAGTAAAAAATCCAAATAGCTAAGATGAAAAGAGTATCAAAAAGCCAGAAATAAAACTCCAATGCAAAGGTTAAAGCATGAACATAAATCTAAGGAGTAGGGCAAACTCATGAGCTTGAATAATCCAAAGATGAGGAATAAAACATCCATTTAAGTGATCCAAGAATGAAAGAACAATACCTTAGCTTGAGTTCATGGTAAAATCCCCAAGACTTAAAGCAAAACTTGACCAGGGCATGACTTGGAGCGAGAACCAAGGCAAGAGATCCTTGCTCTAATTGTTAAGTTGCTTGATCTAAAAAACCAAAAGCAGTTTTTCCCCTCAATAAGGATAGCAATGCATGAAAGCATTCCCTCGGCCCTTTGGTCGCTTTTCCCCATCGCCTGATTTGCACCTGGAATTCTTCCCACACAGAAGCTGTCTTGCTTCTCTATCTAATATCTCTTCTTGCCTGTCATCCTGCAAAACAGTTTTGTTTTCACACAGAGAGTCCTTCATTCTCCAACCAGGGAATTGCCTTCCTGTTCCAACATCCCCTCTGTCTGAGCACCTTCAGAAACATCAGGACCTACAGGCCCTGCACCCCCAGACGCCTCATCAACATCCTCAGCTGGCTGAGCTACAACAATGTGGCAGCCTCTTCATGCACTGGGTGATGCTGAATAGGGTAGGAGGAGCTGTGATTGGCTCCCAGGTAGTCCCATAACTGATGAAATACGTGACGGATGGGCCCTTATCATTATGGCCATCCAGCCAAGCCATATGGCCTTAACTACAAATCTGTGCACAAGCCCAGAAAACACAAAAAACAAACTCTTAACTTCATATGAGAAAAAGGACAATAAGACTAGAGAGTCAGGAGAGAAGAGGAGTGTTGAGGTGGCTGGAAAGGATGGGCTGCATATTGCCTCTTAAGTCTTGTAGAGCCACTGTATATATGTAGATGTTCTTCAAACAGGAGGTGTCTATTGTCATGGGCAATGGATCAATTTCCTTTTTCCAGTCAATTACCTGGGCTCTGGCTGAGCTCATCTCCCGAAAGCTGCTGTTCATCATTTCCATAATGGCCTGGAAATCCTTATCCTCATAGTCAAAGCGATTACCAAATACAATGGAGCAAATAACATTGGAGACAGCGCAGCTGAGGATGAAGGCAGGATTAAAGGGTTTCTCTGAAACACAAGGACAGAGAGAAAGAGTGAGGAGTCACTCCATTAAAGGCACCCCTAGTACCTAGAAAAGTCTCGCTCAAGCTGTTGCCAGAGCTTTGGAGAGGGTGAGAAGCTTTGTCTAGCACACCAGGAAAGATGGCATCAGAATAGGCAATGGTAACTTCTCTCACTTCTGCTTTCCGAAACATTTAGAATACGGAAAATCTCTGCTTTACAATTCCATTTCTTGTTCCATTTTCATTACTATATTTCTCCTCTACATCACTTATATACAATATCCTCTTATTTTCTTTTCATCTCAGCATCTCCTGTTCCATCTGTTTCCCTCTGTCTCCTTCAATCTGGTGATCTCCAAGTATAAGGAGTGCATTTAACTGTAATTTTTCTACTGTTGTGAATTGTAATATAAATATCTGATATACAGGATGTATTTTCATTCACTGGATCAAATTTTGCACAAATAACCGATATGCCCAAATTTGAATACTGCTGGGGTTGGCGGGGGGATTGATTTTTTCATTTGGGAGTTGTAGTTGCTGAAATGTATAGTTCACCTACAATCAAAGAGCATTCTGAACTTCACCAATGATGGAATCGAACCAAATTTGGCACACAGAACTCCCATGACCAACAGAAAATACTGGAAGAGTTTGGTGGGCACTGATCTTGAGTTTTGGAGTCGTAGTTCACCTATATCCAGGTAGAGCACTGTGGACTCAAACAATGATGGATCTGGACCAAAGTTGGCACAAATACTCAATATGCCCAAATGTGAACACTGGTGGAGTTTGGGAAAACAGTCCTTGACATTTGGGAGCTGTAGTTGCTGGGATTTAAAAGTTCGCCTACAATCAAAGAGTATTCTGAACTCCACCAATGATAGAATTGGGGTCAACAGAAAATACTGTGTTTTCTGATGGTCTTTGGCAACCCCCTGACACCTTGTCCCCCAGGAATCCTGATCCCCAGGTTGAGAAATGCTGGTCTACAGGGTGAAGCATATGATACTAGCTTTCTTTGTGACTAAATTGGGATAAACTAGAGGCCATGTATCTTTCATTCCCTTCTTTTTTAAAAAAGGGAATAGTGTATGCAAAGAGAAGGTGCAGTAATGTTACATGGACATGAAGTGTGTATAAGTATGAGCAGCAACGGAAACTAAATATAAACAAGATGTAATGTTGAAACAATAAAAAAATAAAGTGGGGGGGGGGAGGAAAAAAAAGAAGTCCAAATATAAAACCTCAGTTTTGCCATTTTATAAAAGGGATACAATTTAACTGCATCATTTTTATGGGCAATGGGATTCATGGATTTTGATATCTACAAGGGGTCCTGGAACAAAACCCTAGCAGATGCTGAGGAACCACTTATTGAGAAGAGAAAGTTGAGTAATACTGTTTATCATTCTGCTCACCCTTAGTTTTCTTGAATTCCTCCAGCAGGAACTGAGCCTCCTCTTGAATCCGCTCTTGAATGGATTTTTTCCCCATTCCGAAATCCCTCAAGACGGTGAGGGAGAACCGGCGTAGTTGCTTCCAGCGCTCCCCGGTGGAAAATACCACTCCTGTGGGAATCCAAAAAGCAACCGAAAAGCAAATAGGAAAGAGGAAAGAGTGAAAGCCATTATTGCAACACTGATAGAGATTCCTCACCATGACCTTGGAAGGTCCTTTCCAGAGTAGGATTGGTGGCTCTTCCACTGAATTCTTCTGCCTTGTCTATCAGGGCCTCCTTCACAGCATCATGTCCACACAAGACCACAATCGGACGGGTTCCGAAATATACAGTGAACACAGGGCCATATTTTTCTCGAAGCTGTGTAGGAAAATAAGCTGTTATGTTGGGACAATCTCGTTATGAGGTTGGCAGACTTTTTGTAATGGTGTTCTTTGATATGATTCTGGCTAACAACTCCAGTGCATGAGAAGCAATGGGATTTGAATCTTACAGCAGAAGAGGGCAGAGTGAAGATGATGTCTCTAATTTATGACTAAGAGCCCTTCTAGACAGGCCCTATATCCCAGGATCTGATCCCAGGTTTTCTGTTTATCCCAGATTATCTGGCAATGTCCCCCTTCGGGGTTTGAGAAGGGCGGGGTAGAAATGCGCAAAATAAATAAATGTGGACTCATATAATCCAGTTTAAAGCAGAAAACCTGGGATCAGATCCTGGGTTATAGGGCCTGTCTGGAAGGGCCCTAAATCATCCCAGAGTTGATTGAACCTTGATGAAGCTTCCCTGTCTTTAAATTTGATTTGACGAGAGCAATGACTTGCCAATAGTGGCATTTAGTTCTTTGTATTTGCATTCAAACATCCCACCTCCATGGAAACCTAAAGTGGGAGGGAAATATTATGCAAGCATTTGTTCCTGCCAGCTTTTCCTAGCAAATACAGTTCTTTCCTAAACAAAGGAGAAGTGATCTTTTAAAAAAGTTGTCCAGCTTGTTAGCTGTGTAAATATGATATAGCACACCCAAAGATTTCTTAAAGTTGATGAAAGAATTTAATTTGGCATAATACTTCTTGGATTGCATCCCATTTAAACGTGCAGAGAATTTTGAAGGCTTTTTGTGTGGTCATTGAAGAGTTTTGAGAAGCCCAAAGCAACTTTTGAAGTGGATGGAGAAGATGAATATGCAAGAAAGGGAATACTGAATGATGCAAAAATAATCAAAAGGTAAATTCATAATACAAGAGGGATATGCTTTCCATTTTTGGAATGCTGAAAGGACTGAGCACCTGAATAGTGGGTACAAGCTAGACTGTTGTTGTATAACCAAGCAGCTATGCCAGAATTTAGACATCTCCATTGCTTGCATAAGGTCTCTGCCCTCTTGCATAAACATTCATCTGAGTTGTGTAACAATCCATAGTGTCCCTGGAAAGTCACCAGTACCACTCTTTCTCCATTAGTTTGAGCACCCCATATTCCTTACAACTCCATACAGTTATGTTGATGTTAAAAGATAAAGGTTTTCCCCTGACATTGTCCAGTCGTGTCTGACTCTGGGGGATGGTGTCCATCTCTATTTCTAAGCTGAAGAGCCGGCATTGTCCGTAGACACCTCCAAGGTAATGTAGCTGGCATGACTGCATGGAGCACCATTACCTTCCCACCAGAGCAGTACCTATTTACATGTTTTTGAACTGCTAGATTGGCAGAAGCTGGGGCTAACAGCAGGAGCTCACACCGCTCCCCGGATTCGAACCCTGTTTGTACAGCACCAATTAAAGAAGGTGCCCAGCTGGGGAAGATGGTCTCTCCACCATTCCAGGATACTCCAGCAATGGATTGGAGATTAGTGTTGTTGAGCATGGACCCCACTCCCCACCGGGTCAAAATATTAAATTGATAAATGGACAAACCTGGTACTGCAGTGGAGAGTTCTACAGATAGCAGGAGCCTGGAGCTTTCTGAATTGAATGAGTTGTTTATTGTACTAGCCATAGGCCACAACAGCAAATAATATACAACTTTTAAAAATACCGTATACATTTTCCAATATAAACAGTAACACTTATTCTCTAAACTAGATCTTTCAAATTACAGTAGCAGTGATCCCTGTAGGCACGATAACAGTAGCAAAATCTGATTTGTATTGTTCTAAACAGTTTCCATTTCCCTTTCTTGGCTTTGTGGATGTCCCGCAGTCTGGAGGAGCCCAGCAGCAGCTACCAGCACCTGGGATACTTTTTAAAACCACTTTTTAACTTTTTGATAGTTACAATAGAATCTCACTTATCCAACATAAATGGGCCAGCAGAATGTTGGATAAGCAAAAATGTTGGATAATAAGGACGGATTAAGGAAAAGCCTATTAAATGTCACATTACGTTATGATTTTACAAATTAAGCACCAAAACATCATGTTTTACAACAAACCGACAGAAAAAGCAGTTCAATACATGATAACGTTATGTAGTAATTAATGTATTTACTAATTTAGCACCAAAACATTGCAATGTATTGAAACAGCTGCGGACCTGGGCAGGAAGCAGACTGTGTTGGATATCGTTTTTATCTTGTACATTTGGCTGACCCTTTTTGTTCGGCTTTTATTATGTTATTTTGCACTTTTTATTTTACCTTGTTACTTTATGTATTTTGTTGTGATGTAATTTTTCTGTTGTTTTGTATTTTATTTTGCTGTATTGTATTTTTGGGTTTGGCCTCATGTTAGTTGTCCCAAGTCCCCTTCGGGGAGATGGTGGCGGGGTATAAATAAAGATTATTATTATTATTATTATTATTATTATTATTATTATTATTTGAAACACAACAAGATTAGTCTACAGCAGACACTCTACTGGCTGTTGAATTGGATCACATCCTCATTATTATTATTATTATTATTTGAAACACAACAAGATGACTCCATAGCAGACACTCTGCTGGCTGTTGTATTGGATCACACATAGGACACTTCTCAAGTATCGGCGAATAACGCATGCAGATCCCAGTAAGGTGGCCTTCTGCAGCTGGAAGATGGTAATTTGTCAGCGCCAATTGGTCTTTAGGCACAGCACCCAGTGTGCCGCTCACCACTGGGACCACCTTGACTAGCTTATGCCAGAGTCTTTGCAGTTCGATCTTTAAATCCTCATATCATGTCAGCTTTTCCAGTTGTTTCTCTTCAATCCTGCTGTCACCTGGGATTGCAACATCGATAATCCATACTTTGTTTTTTAACACAATCGTGAGGTCAGGAGTATTGTGCTCCAAAACTCTGTCTGTCTGAATCCGGAAGTCCCAGAGTAGCTTGATGTGTTCATTCTCTGTAATTTTTCGGGCTTGTGATCCCACCAGTTCTTTGTTACAGGCAGATGGTATTTGTGGCACAAGTTCCAATGAATCATCTGAGCAATGGTGTTATGCCTCTGCTTGTAGTCTGTCTGTGCAATCTTCTTGCAGCAGCTGAGGATGGGATCTATTGTTTCATCTGCTTCCTTGCAGAGTCATCATCATCATCAGCATCATTGGATAATACAGAATGTTGGATGAGCAAAGGTTGGATAAGGGAGACTCTACTGTATATCGTTCCCATCTCTGGACCCATGCACTGGACCCATTTGCTGGGGACTCATATCACAATTATCTTGTCAATAAAATGCATGGGACCCTGATTGTTTGTCCTGGAGAAGGGACAAGATAATCCAATCATGAAAGTATGTCTCCTTTGTCACAGGTTTCTATCCTGCCTATAGTCAGCCATTGGAGAGTGAGAATCTGCATTGGGAGCGGGGAATGTTCTATAATTGGCTGGCGGGTGCCGCAGTTCCACCTTACCAGGGAATCCCTGCCCAGCTGTTTGTGATGTCAACAGGGTTCAGCCAATCACAGCAAAGCCAGGTCCAGCTGGGGTAGGAGTGGGAATTTCAAAGGACTGTATTGTATAAAAATGTCTGTTTTGCAATGATATGGTATCTCAGCTTACTTTGGCAGATTACCGCAGGCTGGCATCGCTTCAGTTGATTTCAATAAACACCTCAGTGGCTTCCTCTTGAACTCAGGGAGATTTATTTGGGAATATTACTCTTCTTCGTCTCACCAGGTACACAGACCTTACAGGGTGGCCTATTGCCAGTATTGGTAACCAATAACCATGTATTGGAACTTGGTATCCGTGCTTCAGGTTTTGCATCTCAAATCTCACTATCCATGGCCATTTTAAATTTCTCTATTTCAGTAGGGCTTATTGACCAGCTATGGCTGGATTGTGCACAGATTTGGACCAATGTGGACGGCAACCAGATTAGGGTGATAGTCATATTGTGCCAATAAATCATCCAAATGATAAATTGGTATATGCATTTTCAATAGAGGTGCCAATGCAAGCATGGCCTTTGCAACATCAGCCTCTAACAGAATCCAAGAAAAAGAATATGTCCTTTACAGCTTCCTACTATGAATCTGCTCTCATTGCCACTTTAAATTCATAAAATCATTTGTCATATTTCTTTCAGATGGAAGTCAATTCATGGTACTAATAAAAGGTAGAGTGCTTTCTTTCTTTCAGTAGTAAAAAAAAATAGGGGAAAGAAATAATACAAAAACAGCAAGGTTACATAACTACAGTGCTTTTCCAAAGGTCAATCACTCATACATAGCTTTCCTAACAAATCTGTGCCACAGAAGCTCTTTTTATTCCTATCTACTTATATAGAAGTCTTAGAAAGCAAACCCATCTACATCGTCCTGGTATCCTTTACTCTTTTCCACCAGATTCCAAGGAAGCCCCTTGGATCCTTGACCAATTTCTGGCAGCTGTGATGGGCTGGATGAGAGCTAACAAATTGAAGCTTAATCCTGACAAACAGAGGTCCTCCTGGCCAGTTGTGGGACCAATCGGGGTATAGGGTGGCTACCTGTGCTTGATGGGGTCACACTGCCTCTGAGGACACAGGTCCACAGTCTGGGGGTCCTTCTGGACTCCGCTTTTACACTTGATGCTCAGGTGTTGGTGGTGGCTGGGAGGGCCTTTGCACAGTTAAAACTTGTGTGCCAGCTGTGCCTGTACCTCGTGAAATCTGACTTGGCCGTGGTGGTCCATGCACTAGTTACCTCCAAGTTGGATTATTGCAATGCACTCTACGTGGCGCTGCCTTTGAAGACGGCCCAGAAACTACAGTTGGTTCAAAGATTTGTGGCCAGGCTGCTTATGGGAGCTACTTACAGGTAGCGGTCAAACCCCCCTCCTCCCCGTTTAAACAGCTCTACTGGCTTCAAATGAGTTTCTGGTCCCAAGTCAAGGTGCAGGTGATCACCTATAAAACCCTAAATGGTTTGGGACCTGCCTATCTCCGTGATCGCATCTTCCCCTATGAACTAGTGTGTATCCTTAGATTATCTGGGGAGGCTCTGCTCTCTCAAGTGCAGTTGGTGGGGAAGAGGGAGAGGACCTTCTTGGTGGTGCCCCCCTGGCTTTGGAACTCCCTTCCTAGAGAGATCAGACAGACTCCCACTTCGTCCTCCTTTCACAGGGAATTAAAAACCTGGATGTTCCATTGTGCCTTGAATTAGGCAGTTCACTAGAAAGCTATCCTGTCCCTACTTGAAATTCTGCACTTTATTTTGGCCCTCTTATCGGCTACCTCGACACTTTCTACAATAATATTCCCTAGCCCCTGTTCATTTGATTTCGGCACTTTCCATGGGCTCCTTTTAGGAATTATTGCACTCATTGAGCCTGAACTCAACTATGTTCCCTGTATCTCAGCCATATTGTTTTATGTTGTTGTTTATGACTGTGTTTGTTTTATTATTTTATTTGATTGATTTTAATTTTGTCTCTGGTTTTAGCTGTGATTTTTTTGGGCTTGTCCTTTTGTAAGCTATTCCGAGTCCCCTAGGGGAGATGGTGCCGGCATATAAAAATAAAATAATAATAATAATAATAATAATAATAATAATTATTATTATTATTATTAGAAACACAACAAGATGAGTCTACAGCAGACACTCTGCAGGCTGTTGTATTGGATCACATGTCAGACACTTCTCAAGTATCTAGCACTGTGTGATGTATCGGCAAATAATGTGTGGAGATCCTAGTAAGGTGGCCTTCTGCAGCTGGCAGATGGTAATTTTGTCAGTGCCGATTGTGTTTAAGTGCAGGCCAAGGTCTTTAGGCACTGCACTCAGTGTGCCGATCACCACTGGCACCACTTTGACTGGCTTGTGCCAGAGTCTTTGCAATTATTATTATTATTATTATTATTATTATTATTATTGTTGTTGTTTACACAGTACACAAACAAACAAGAATCGTGGACCAGGGTGGTGGATGAAGATGTTTCAGTTGGCAGAAGGTCTAGGAGAATACTATCAAAAACTAGAGAAAGACATAGAATATTACCCCAAATCAGTGAAAAGCATAGATGATTATGGAAGAACTGTAGGGAAAGAAAAGATTCCCATGAAGTCTATATAAAAGAAGGAATGGATGAAGGTTCAGTAGACAGCCAACCCTTTAGGGTCTCTTTAGATTTGCCACCATCCCCAACATGCCCACACTGTGTTTCCAATGGACAATCACTCACCTTGAGAAGAGATGTTAAGATTTCTAATGACTTGATCTGCAGGAAATTCCCGATCAGAGGCAAAGGAGTGGGTCCCGGAGGAAGCCTCCCCTTGCTCGATAATTTCTTCTTAAATGATACAATGGCAAGGCAAGACAGGTAGATGACAAGGAAAAGTGTGACTGCCACAGATAGCTCCATGATGGAGTTTGCACTCCTCGTGCGCCTTTACTCAGAATGTGGGCTTCATGTTCTGTCCATGTATTTAATTTGGAGGTAGATTGGGCCCCACCTTCTGCCTTGCATAACCATGTGGCTCGTGGAGTGTTTAATTTACGGAACCAAAATCAAATTTAATTGTCTCTTTCCTGGTTAATTATTATTATCCTTAGAGAAGACATGTAGATTTGCATTTCTGTGTTCCTGCAGGCCAAAACCTGCTTAGTTTTTTTCTTTGAACCCTTGCAATAAAATCATTCCTGGCAATTGAGTTCACCAACCAAAAAAAAAAAGCAGAAGGGAAGACAACCCTATAGTGAAGAAATGGAAATGGAAATGGTCCTAATCATTGTAGAGTGTTGCCAAAATGCAATAAAAAATTAAAGGTGGACGCAGGCCATTTGCTCTCTTCACATGTGGGTCGCAGTGCAACAGCCTGTCCAAGCCCTATGCGGAATATCAACATTGCTGTCTGTATGACTGGAGGCCTTTGTGCCATGTGCAGGTACAATGCTCAATTGTGATGCATAATGCGATACATAATGTTGTTTCACGCACAACTCCATTTCCACCTAAGTCCATCAGGATTCCTGTCACAATCCCTCTTTTGCACCAAAGTTCACTGGAGTGAGCAATGGAAACATCATTTTGTTGTATCTGAATAACGGAAAAACAGAGCTCTGCTACTTTCAATGACTATGCCCAGTAAATCTGGTCTGGATATGTGATTTTGCTGCATTTCTTGAAATACTACCAGCTTTTTCATCCTTTCTCTTTTTCGTATCAGGTTGAAAGTCTTTGTGATGCAATTGGATGAAATCCATGTCTTAGTTTAAATCTATGAACATTCTTCTAATGTGTTAATTTTGTCACTGAGCCAAAGAATAAGGTGCTTTTATAGATGGTTGTATACTGTAATTTCCCCCCTACTGCTACATAGAAATGCCATGCGTTATTCTTGCATAATTAGTGTGGGAAGCTAATACCTTTTGTTAGTTTTTTTTTCGTGTCAGGAGCGACTTGAGAAATTGCAAGTCATTTCTGGTGTGAGAGAATTGGCCGTCTGCAAGGATGTTACTCAGAGGATGCCCAGATTTTTTTTGATGTTTTTATCATCCTTGTGGGAGGCTTCTCTCATGTCCCTGCATGAGGAGCTAGAGCTGGCAGAGGGAGCTCATCTGTGCTCTCCCCGGAAGCTCCCCCCTTGCATAATTACATAATGAAAAAGTAACGATAGTAATGATGCGGACCCCTTACTATACTTTAGAAACACATTAGAAACTATTGCCCCCCTCCCAATTTAGTAATGAGTATTGAAACATTTTTTCATTGCTTGCAGAGGCCTAATATATATCGTTCAACCCAAATTCCTATAGGAATAGTACCCATAATTTCACCTACCTGCATCTGACAAAATATGTCCTCTTTGGGAATTTTCTAGATTCGTTAGGCAATTCTATGGTATGCTTCTCCCAAAAGATACCATAGAGTTGTCGTGGAGGACCTAGGAAATTCCTGTTGGAAGTCATTCATTTCATTATTATTCATGGCTTCCTGATTCCACAATGTTCAGGATTCTATTTTTCCCTTTCTGCTTCTGCCTCTTCATTTCGTGCTTCATGTTTCCTTGCCACAACTTTGTGCTTCTACCATTTTAAAGCTAATTTTTCTTTTTTTATTGTTCCACATGAATGTGAATTTATACATTATTTGTTATTTATAAAGTACATTTTCTTATTTCAAAACAAGTATCAAAAAATGGAGGAGGTGGGTGGGTTTCAAGCCAGAATGAATGAATTAATAGCATTTCAATGCATTTCAAAGGGAAAAAATCACTTTGTAATAAGAACATTTGAATTAAGATCTTGGTCACAGAACCAATTAACTCTTAAGTCAAGGTATCACTGTATATACACACAGAAACAGAAAGAGAGAGAAAAGCAAAGAAGCACCAAAATCCTAAAATGCAGTAGATCAAAAGTTTCTTCTCTATGCCTTGGATTACAACTGCATGCCAATTCAAGAAGCCATAATCGGGGAAAAACTATATCTGGTAGCCATCATTAAAATGTGCCATATGAGAGTCAGGAAAGAGAGAAAGATTGCTCTGCCTTCCCCATACAAAGGTCAGATGCAATGCAAGTACAAAGAATCCTATAAGTGGGATCTTCGGGTCAGCGTGAGACCATGCAGAGCTGATAGTAATGTGGGATTCTGCCAAATCCAACCTCATGAGAAGTCACGTCAATGTCCTTGGGGGCCACGAGGGGTTTCAGCTCAAATTTCTGCAGGATGGTGGCCAAAAAGATGAAAAGCTCCATGCGGGCCAAGGTTTCGCCCAGACAGACCCGCTTCCCTAGAAGAACAATTGGAGAAATTTCAGCAGGGAAGGATTTAGCTATCTCTCTAGTCCAGTGGTTCTCAACTTGTGGTTTCTCAGGTGTTTTGGCCTACAGCTTCCAGAAATCCACTTTACCAGCTGTTAGGATTTCTGGGAGTTGAAGGCCAAAACATCTGGGGAACCACAGGTTGAGAACCACTGCAAGTCTAGTCAGCTGTCCCCTTCTTTTCACACTACACATTTATACTGCTATGATTACAACCATGGGAGCATTAAGCTGAAGTCCAAAACACCCAAAGGAGTAGAGTTTGGGAATCACTGCTTTAGGTTACCTGAAGCGAATGGCACAAAAGCATCGCTCTTCTTGAAGCGCCCGTTCTCATCCAGGAAATGCTCTGGGTTAAATGCATAGGGGGTTTTAAACATGGTGGGGTCATACAGGACTGTGTTGAGGAGGGGGTAGACTTCTGTTCCCTGGGAAAAAAGAAAAGAAAGCAGGGTGACGTGAAAGCAATAAAGTTTGGGGTGGGGTGGCATTAACTATAATATATATAATACTTTATTTCTAGACCTCCCTATCTCCCTGAGGGTACTTAGAGCGGTGATGTGAGAACAATACAATTGGGGGGGGGGGTGCCGATGACCACTTGGACAACCTGTACAGGTTTATGCCAGAGCCTTTGCAGTTCAATTTTGAGGTCCTGATCATGGCTGAGTTTTTCCTGTTGTTTTTCCTGTCAATTTGGCTGTCACCTGGTATGTTGACATCAATAATCCAAACTTTTTTCTTTTCCACAATTGTGATGTCTGGTGCATTGTGTTCCAAAACTTTTTCAGTCTGCATTCGAAAGTCCCACAGTATTTTTGCATGTTCATTTTCCACAACCTTTGCAGTTTATGATCCCACCAATTCTTTACTGCTGGCAAGTGGTACTTGTGACATGAGTTCCAGTGAATCATCTGGGCCACAGAGTTGTGCCTCTGTTTGTAGTCTGTCTGTGCGATTTCCTGAGTTACAACACGATCAAGATGGCTGTGGTCAGTTCTTTCATTGTCCATTAGTGGACGCCTCTTAGCTCATGTAAGCATAGATTGCATCAAAAACAGTTTATACACATTTCATTCATCAGTACACTCTCCTTGCCACCAATCAAACTCATCACTCTGGGCTCCCCCATCTTCCCCTTTATTATGTTTACGTCCACACTAAGCCTCATTATCTCCTACTTTACCCATCTCTTTTCTTCTCTTCATTCCTTTTCTCCAGGCAGCATTTCTTGTGTTCTTCTATCTCCTCATTTCAACGTACCACAACTCACATTTTCCTTCCCCCTTTTTGTACTCCCGTCCACCCTGCCCTCCCATTCTTCTCACCCTTTATCTTATATCCTCCTCATTCTCCTGACCACACTAACCTTCACAACACAATACCTCCACTAACAAACAACCACAACACTTAACCCCCTCCTTCCCCCCCTCCCCTCCTTCTCCCCTTTCCCTCCTTCCTTCCTTCCTTCCTTCCTTCCTTCCTTCCTCCTCTTCTCCTCCCTCCCTCCTCCCCTTCTTTCTTCCCTTCCTCTTTCCCTTTTCTCTTCTTTCCCTCCTTTTCCCTTTTTC